GTCTGATGTAGGAGAGGGGGCTCAGGCTGGCAATGAACGGGGGGGGGGAACAGCTGCACTGGGGCATGGGGGGATCCAGTAGACGCTGCAGTGTAGGGGGGGGTCAGGGCAGGCTGGGCCCCCTTTCCCCAAGGGGGCTTTTAGGCAAATTCTGCTCCCCCCTCCCCGCAGCCAATGAGACTGGCAGGAACTCGGGTCTTAGCCTGGCCAGCAGGGGGTTCACTCAACCCGTCTCGCTCCCTGGGGGATCAGGAGCTGGAGGGATACACCCCCGACCAAGACCAGAGCTGGTATCTGGGTGTGATGGGGAGGACGTGGCGGCTCCCTGAGGCCAGGCCAGGTCCTGTATCGGGGCCCATCACCCTGGACTCAGGTCTGGACCTGCCACACAATGAGGTGGCTACGCTCTGAGCGGCGCAGACGGGGGGTGGGCCCCAAATCCCCTGCGAAGAGAAAGAGAGAAGCACAGAGTCAGAGCAGCCCCAGAGCCCCCACACGAACCCCCAGTGTGGCCACCTCTGGGGTGGGGCGTGGGGGCTCATACAGGGACTCCTCACCAGGCTCCTTCCTCAGTGGGGCTAAACACAGGGCTGGTTATACGGGAACCCCCTCCCACAGTGCTGGGATGCAGCATCCCAGGGCCCTGCGAAGAGAAAGAGAGAAGCACAGAGTCAGAGCAGCCCCAGAGCCCCCACACGAACCCCCAGTGTGGCCACCTCTGGGGTGGGGCGTGGGGGCTCATACAGGGACTCCTCACCAGGCTCCTTCCTCAGTGGGGCTAAACACAGGGCTGGTTATACGGGAACCCCCTCCCACAGTGCTGGGATGCAGCATCCCAGGGCTAATTATCCATTCATGTGCAGAATAAATTTTCTGCGCACCAAGGCACGTGCAGATGTGCACCACCAAATGAAACACATACTTCTGGCTGTGGGCGTTCTGCTAATCCGCTGGCAGCACCTGAATCTCTCCTGGGTGGCCGCCCAAGTGCTCAGCTTACAGGGAACACTGCTGAGGTCCCCCCCACCCCGTAGAAGCACCGTCTCCCACCCCCCATGGGACACATACCGATCCTGAGGTTGATGTACCCCTCTCCTCCACTCAGCACCAAGAGCAAGGGCTGCTTCTGCCCAGCACCCTCCTCACCGCGCTCTCTGCTCCCAGCCAGTGGGGTGTTCACAGAGCCTGGGGCAGAGGTAGGTTGTTATCCGGTTACCCACCTACAGCGAGCACTCCCGCACTCCACTGGGATCCACCGTTCGCCCCGTCTGCATGCGAGTCCTGAATCCCCTAACGTCTAACCCACTCCCCCCGCACCCCAGAGCTGGGGAGCGAACCTAGGAATCCTGGCTCCCAGCTCTAACCACTAGACCCCACGCCCCTCCACCCAGGCATCCTGGCTCCCAGCCCAGCTGGTACCTGGGACGCAGACGAAGAACCGGACGGCGTCGCGGTGGCCGTGGTAGGAAACCTGGGCGCTCTCCATCGCACAGTAGGGGGTGCGGGCGGGCGAGGGGCCAGGCTGGGACCCCACAGCTGGGGGAACGTCTGAGCAGCCCGAGAACTCTGAAGGGGGCAGGAGAGACGGGGAGGATCAGAGCTTGGGGACCCTCCTCCCCTCCCCCC